GCTGCTCAGAGTTGTGCTGATAGTCGGTTGTGGTCCCTGCACGTCCAGCTGCAGGCGGAGATCCGCAAGATTGCGAAGTCCTAGCCGGGCGTGGTGATGCATGACTGTAATCCCAGCACTTTGGGAGGCAGAGGGAGGAGGATCTCGAATTCTAGCCCAGCCTTGGCAGTTTAGCAATTTAGCGAGACTGTTAAAAAAAAAAAAAAAGGATGAGTATGTAGCTCATTGCAAATGTCCTGATTTCAATCCCCAGTACATTAAAAAAAAAAAAATGCGAACGCCTGCAGGTGATAGCGAACGCAGCTGTCCCAGCGTCTGCAGGGAAGAAGCCGGCTGGAGCAGCCCCTCCCAGGCCCTGGGGTAGACAGCAGGGCCCACACTTTGCAAAGACTGAGGAGGCCATGCCTGTGTCCCCTGCAACCCGTCCGGCCTGAGGGCAGCTTCTCTTTCTGTCCTGCAGAGCTGCAGCCTCTTTGCGCAGGGAGGAAGAGGGCCCCACCGGCCCCTGGTGGGCAGAGCAGCCTTGCTGGTGTCGGCTCCATTTCTGCGTGTTCAGCCGAGCCCTGCTGCTCTGGCCTGGACACGACGGAGGGCTGACTGACCGTCCCCGAGCCAAGTGGCCCGCTGGGAAATTCGGGGTGGACCTGATGGGGCGGCGCAGGGGGCCATAAACGGGGTCAGCGGCCTGGAGATGGACTGGAGCCTCCCTCCCTCAGGGCGTTTGCAATGGCGACTGCAGAGCTGTTTTTCTGTCCCCAAAGCTTTGCCTTTCCCAGACTGTGGTAGAAAAAGAAGTGTATGGCACGCCGCTGCTTTTTTGAAGATAAGTTTCTTTCACTTAACAGAATGCATTTGAAATTTACCGGGGCACGTTCATCAGCAGTGGTTTTTTTACTGCTGCGTAGTAGTCCATTGTGCAGACCCACCCATGTTTATTATCCATTCTTGGTTAAGGAATACTTGAGTTTTCCCCGTTTTCGGTGACTGTGCATCAAAGCACTGTAAACACTCACACATGGCCTTTTGTGTGGACAGGTACTTTGCTTCTCTTGGGAAAGCACTGCAAAGAGGGACCCCTGAGCGCATGACGACGATGTCCTTGGGTGATCATCAGAACGTCCTCTTGAAGGGCGGTGCCTCGCTCCAGCTTTGAGTCCTGGCCAGCGTTTGCTGCCAGGGCTTCGGATTTTCGCCGTTCTGACAGGTGGGGCAGAGTCCGCAGGGCTTTAATTTGCACCACCTGACGACGACGTCTGTGTGCCACCTGGTGTGTTCACACCGATGCATTCTAGGAGGTTTCATAAATTCTTTGGGATTGCTATGCAGACCATGAACCATCTGCAAGTAGGGACCGTGTGAGTTCTACTGCGTGTGCTTTTAATTTCTCTTTTGCCTTTCCACACTCCACTGTGACTTTAAGTAATAGTGTGGCAAGCACACATCTTTCCTGGTCTAGTTTCTGATTCAGGGAGAAGCGTTCAGTGTTGCATCTTTAGTACAATGCTAGCTAGGATTTTTTGTTTTTTGGGCAGCCTCTAGGAAGCCCTTATGATCTCCACCTCCTGGCATCTGTGACCTTATGGGTTCCCTCCTTTAGCATAGGTTTGATCTAGCGAAAGTGATGGGATATCACTTCCAAGGTTAGACTGCAAGAAGACAATGACTTCCACCATAGGATCTTTTTTTTGTTCTGTTTGTTTGTTTGTTTGAGATAGGGTCTTCTTGTGAGGTACAGGCTGGCCTTGAACTATGTTGCCCATGCTGACTTTGAAACTGTGATCCTCCTGCCTCAGCCTCCTGAGATCATTAATTTTAGATTTTCTTCTCTAATGTCTTTAATGCCATTTTTCCTTTCAGCATCACTTCAGAGATATCACAGAAATCTTGATATATTTTTGTTTTCATGCTCAAAATATTTTCTACTTTCCCTTGTGATGTCCGATTTGACTCACGGGTTGTTTTGAAGTGTGTTGTCTAATTTCCAACAGTTTGGGGAATTTTCCAGTTATTGATTCCCAGTTTAATTGCATCATTTTTAGTGAACCCATTTTGTGTGATTTAAATTCTCTGAAATGTGTTGAGGTTGTTTTCACAACTCAGAATATGGTCTGTGTTGGTAAATGTTTCTTTTTGACAATTAAAAAAAATACTGTGAAAAGAAATGAGGAAGTCAGTGTGAATTTCTCCAGAGCAACGTTGTCTGAAGTTCATACCAGGATAAATAAAGCTAGTCTGGAAAATGAACTTCAGGGATTCCACAAGGTTCAGTACTCAGGGAGCCTGGAAGGGCGCCCAGCCCTGCGGTGGTCAGGGTAGGAGCCGGGCACTGACTGCTGCGGCCTGGGCGGGCAGTGAACCAGAGAAGAGCTGGCGTGACTTGCAGCTGTGTGCTGTTTTGTTTGGGGGAAGCTGTAGCAAAATGTGAGAGAACATCTTTGAAAGGAACACAAACAGCTGATGTCCCAGGCACAGAGAAGCACTGTAGTCTTTCCACTGGCAAATCTGTAGTCTTTGCAGCAGGCAGATCTATAACTGGTTTTGTACTAAAGAGGTCCAAGTGCGGGAATTAGAGTTCTTGGAAGCTGAGAAATGGTCTTGTGCGTTTTTACCTCAAGCGAGCACAAAGAAAGGTGAAGCCATGTAATTTTCCACTTATAATGATCTTTTCAGCTCTGTGTAATGAGAGTACTTCGGCATCTCTGAGGTAGCACAAACAGTGCCATGATATTTTAATAACTTAAGGGAATAATGAACAATCAACACAATAACACATGCTAACAGTATTTGGGGTTTGGAGTCAGAAAACCAGGATTTCTACCTCCTGAGCAGTGGACAGTCCAGGGCATGAGAATTACTGTTCCTGGCCAATAAGAGTAACAGCAAAAGCTGGCTACTGAGGACTCACTTGCAGGCAGTAAGCTAAGAGCATTCTACACAGGAGTTCCAGTGACCCAGGAAGACAGGTGTGTTATCAGTGGTATTGTCTGCAGATTTCTGCTGAGCTGAGTCAGAGTTGGTACATGTGCATAACACATCTGATTTTTTTTTTTTACTTCCTCATACTCCTTACTCTTGAGAGAAAAAGAAACAACTACTTAATATCTAGGAGGGGAGGGGAAGAAATGTTTCATTTAAAAATTTTCTTTGCACAAAATGAGATTTTTCATACAGACTGTTTTAGAAATGCGTACTTTTCTTTTTTTCCCTGATCCTCTGAAGTGGTTCACCTTTAAAAAATTGTGGTAGAAATATGTAGTATGAAAGTTACCATCTTAACCATTTGGAGAGTTTCACAGGTCAAGCAAGCATCTTCCCATGTTGCAGGGCAGACCTCCTAGAACTTCTTTTATCTTGCCGAAGTGAAACTACACCCACTCAACACTTACTCTGCACACACTCAGCCCTTGAAGCCACCTTTATACTTTCTGTTTCTATGATTCTGACAAGTTTAGGTATTTCCTAAGAGTGGAGTAATATAGTATTGGCCCATCTGTGCCTGGCTTAGTTTCAGCATAATATCCTTGAGGCTAAACTGCTTGTAGCATATGACAGGATTTCCTTCTTTTTATGGCTGCATAACATTCCACTGTGAGTATACCATTTTATCTACTCATCTGCGTATGGATGGCCATTTGGATTGCTCCCACCTTTTAGTTACTAGGAGTGATGCTACTGTGAACATGGGTGTGCAAATATTTCCAGAATGAAATTGCTGGATCAAAAGGTAAATCTATTTACATTTTTACAGAAACCGTCATACTGTTTTCCACACTGGCTGCACGGTTTTACATTTATACCAAGAGTGCAGGTTATCATGGTTTGTATCTAGAAGTTCCCCCAAAGCCTCATGAGCTTTTGGGAGGTGTCTGGATCATGGGTGTGTGCAACTCAACACTAGATTAGTGCGCTGATGGGTTTATAGCTGGGTGTGACATCACTCTTCTCCTCCACCCTGACCCTGGCTGTGCACATCTTCTGGGATTTCATGTGTACACTTTTCTTGGTAAATACCACATATCAGAATGGCTGGACTGGATGGTGAATGTTTAGCTTTCTAAAGTACTGTCATTCGCTTTCCTAGTGGTTCTATTGTTTTGCAGTCCCATCAGTAATATATGAGAATTTTGGCTCTCCTGCATCTTTGTAAGCACTTTGTGTTGTCAACATTTTTATTTTTTTATTTTTTATTTTTGGTACCGGGGATCAAACTTGGGCCCTCGCACTTGAGAGGCAGGCGGCGGAACCACTGAGCTAAATCCTTAGCTCGTCCACAGTTTTTATAGTGGTAAATATACATAACATGAAGTTTACCACCTTCACCATTTCTAAGTGCACAGTTTAGTGGTGTTGATTTCACACTGTTGTACAGCTGCCACCATCATCCATCTCCAGATTTCTCATCTCGTTTAAAACTAAAACTCTGTACTGACACATTAAAGAATAACTCTCCATTTCCTCCATTCCCAGCCTCTGGCAATCCACATTATCCTTTCTCTTTGAATTCCGCTATTCTAGGTACCTCCTAGGAGTGGACTCACACAGCATTTGTCCTTTTGTGATGTCCATTGACTTAGCATAACGTCC